ATAGATACTGTTACTCGTTTGATATCAAGAAAATATCTGTAAAACAGTTCCATTTTTACAAACATGTCCCAGTGAACGAAGGAAGTAGTTTGTGTTAAAGGTGGAGAGTAATAACTTGCGGTAAAGCTTTGTTCATAAAAACATTTAAATTACGCTCGAGTTGGAATCTCATTGAAATGAAACAAATAGAGACTGCGGATGCATGATTGCATGAAAAGAAATGAGCGTTGCATGTTCCCAGATAATTAACACAGACACGCAACGTGTGCATGTATCCGATGGCACTGACGTCGTATACAAACGCGCGCACACACACACACACAATAACACATAACACTAACTTATGCTTGCGCTCAGTTTTCCGGTGCGGTAGCAGATCTGGTTGTTCTGTCTTGATGAAAAATAACCGAGATACAAAATAATAAACGGGAGAAAATCTGGTAATAAGGTGTCCAGATAGGTCGTTTGATATTCCAAAACCAGTCTACTTTGATGCTCATTTCGGAAAAGGAACGTCTGAAAGACACGACGCGAACCGATGAAAGCAATCCTTTTTCTGGCATAATTTGCTATTGTATACGCAATCTGTTATGCTAATAATAATAAAAGAAATAATTCAGCTAATTATTCGGGTCCCATTAATCACCTTTTCTCCAATTATTCACAAACATCTCCAAATTCATTAGCTTGCACACTTTAGCACAACCCAAAACGGCGCGACAAGTCGGAAACGGATTCTTTTTCACAAGTGCAACTTGTCTACTTGTGAGTAGCCCCACTCGATAACTATCAAGAATAGTTCCAGCTGTCCATTGGTTATATTATATTTTCACACGGTTCTCGTTTAGGTCATATAAGTGCAGTGCGTTTGTTTCATCGTTTCATTTCGTCTTGTGCCTTTTACAAGTTTACACAAGAGTACTTCCCAAGTAGATAATTCACAGGATAAAGTGGGGATTTGCGTGACACATCTATCCGGTTAGTTAAAATAAGAAATGATAATCCATACGGTCGGGCAAAAGCAGGTAAATTTTACGACTTATGCGCGAGATTCATTGGACAAAGCGCACCAACCTTTATTGTGGTCAGTCAGCCTAATATCGCAACTGTTTTGCTGTCAATATTGATGCACATGCGAAGCCCTAAGCTCGTTTTGCAACTGATCAGCAGCCTTAGCTCGAACCCCACATGTTTACCCCCCAAAGTTGAGCAAAACCAGTTCTCATTGTGATTTGAAAGTATTCCATAAATGTAAATATTCCCACTGAAAGGTGGACCATTAGGATTTCAAGCTCAACTTTCAACTCACCAAGGGATGGAATCTGGCCAAGGAGAATAAATCATATGTGTTTTTGAGGTTTCCCTCATTGATAACTCCATTCTCGTTCATAAACGCAACAATCAACGATCACTATATAGTATTAAATTGTATTTTTATGGAAAACTTTTGTGCACTCCCAAGTTCAAACAGGAGAAATTCAAACTGTTCTGCGGAGTTTTCATCTAAAGGTTTTTTCCCCGTTTGTCTTTCCCCAATTGCAAACACCGAATATTATTTGATTTTAATATTCATTGTAAATCTTTACCATTGTATCTTCAGTAATTAATCAAGTCCAGACAAAACCTTAAGAAAACACCACCCGTCGATTTTGGAGTCACTTGTTTCATCTTAAACCTCACCTACATTTGTTCCTATTGAATATTCTGCACATTTCGAAATTTCCCGTATGGTTTCTCTGCTCCAACAAATAGCATTCCCAATTTGTGTTTTCGAATTGATACAGATGCTGCTGCCGAAAACGTGTAATTGTGCCTTACTTGTGTCATGTCCCTCAACAGCCAGCAACAGATTTTTTCGGACCTTGTAGTTTCACTTACGCCCAGGTGGCACTTTTACAGGTTTCTCATTCAATACTGTAGCCACAAGATCAGTTTCCTCCGATGTTCACGAGTAAATCACTTGTTAGTAATCAAGTGTAGCAGCGCGAAAGGTCTCATTTGCAAGTTCTTACGTGATTTCAGTTCCGGTGGATCGATGCTTTTCCACAAATACCAGTGAGCCTTTTAATTTCCTATCCTAAGACTATTGTTGTGCTATTCTTGCTGCACCAGAATACCAAAAGTTGGTATCGTCCGTCTTCTTTTATCTATCTTCTTTTATTATCGGTAACTACGAGGCCAATTGTCAGTTCTACTCATGATACTTTTCATATGAAGTGGCTTAAAAAGTTAACAGTAATCACTCATATGGTAAGACTGTCGACTTTTGCACTAGTTTCGGGAATTCAAAAGAGAGGCCCAAATAAAATCGTCCTTGAATTTTGAACCCCTAGATTGTTTTTACAGTTTTGATTTTCATAAGATTTACAATAATATTTGCTCTTCATAACTCCCATACAACCGTTCCTTACTGTTGTCCAAAATATAAGCCAAGTTTATCGGGTGACTCTATTTGACTTTCTTCGAATGTTCTTTCTTCTCATCGATTCCTTACAATCCTTTCATTTACTTATAACCTCCAACTTTAAGCAGAAAACCGAATAACGATGATAATGCGATAAAAATCTATTAACTAAGGCATTTTCCTTGCAATGGTTGGTCCGCGGTTGATTTTCATAACGAATTCCTTATCAGATCGGGTATTGCGGTATGAAATTTTACAATAATTAGGTTGAAACATCGTACATTCACTCAGGTTCCGGGTGAATTAAAGATAAGTGAAAATGAGTAACACAATAATCACCGTCAAATGTGCGATAAATATGCGAACAACTTGTGAGATAAGTAATAAATTTCCAAGGAAATTTTGTGGACACCGTACACCCACGTCGCGTTTCGTCAGTTGAAACGCAAGCAAGTATTTGACTACTCATAAGTAGTATCGAAATAATATCAAATAACGCAATCTGTTAATCCGGTGGTGCTGTTTCCATTGGCCATCCTACTTCGAAAAACACAGCAGATGGACCGTATGTGTAATATTCTACCTTTTAGAACAAAAATGTCAAGCAGAACTGATAAAAAAACATCCAAAAAAGGTTCACCTCAAAACATACACCAACTAAGATGAAATATGTAGTCTATAGGTTTCGGGACAGAATGGCAGACGGAAATCAACCACCAAAATCAAAACAATAAACAATACTTCACATTGCAAAAGATACCCTTTAATTCCTATAAGACATTTAATAATTTATTTACTTCCTCCTTTTGTTTACTAAATTAAAATTTATGTAGCTGAGTTTCAGGTGGAGGCCTGCTGCCAATTAAAGAATATGCGGGAACTCTGCTCCCGAGGAATAATCGCTTTTGGGCCATCCGTGGGGTAGATGGATAATTAACAAACAACGAATCGTAATCCGATTTCATTCCCCCACTGAATCAGTGTACGTCGCAGCTGGGAATGAAATGAAAGTGGTACGGAGAAAATCCCGCGTATGTGAGTTACCTCGAGTGCTATCAGATCGATGCAAACTAACAAAAAGGAATGTTTGAGTTTATTTCCTGGAGGAGGGATCCAGCGTTGGATTTTTTCACGTATCTGTAAGGTGGCACATTCAAAGAAACAAATCAAAGTTTATGAGCAGAATTTTCTGTTGCTATGATGATAGCTCCAGGGAAGGAGAAAAATATCAACTAGAGCGATGTCATCAACGTTCATTGCGTGCAGTTTGCGCAGTAGGTCAAAACGGAATCTGTTTAGAGCCAAATGAATCATTTGGGAAAGTTTAAAATTTCACTATTGTCTGAAAATCTGTTTGCGGTTTCCTGGAGGAATGTTGAAAGAGACAAAAAAGGCAGCTACATTTCTCATCTGCTCCTGTCTTGAAATAGACAGTTACTTTGGTAACGCCCACAAAATGATGTAGGTTGGCCGTGTGCGTGTGTGTCTGTGTTAAATACTGTCTGACTATTCGTCATGGCAACAGTCTGTAATTCAGATCATGCAATGCATCTATTACCTAGTTGAAATGTGCCGCTTCTGTGTGTGTGCCGTTTGGATCGGATAGATTGAATAATATTCGTGCAGTAATGGCAATGACACTCGGAAATCTGAGAGCACAAATAGTCTGTTATCGATGAGCTATCCATCACTTAAAGGTGAAATTCGTCGCGTGAACTGAAAAGATAGGAAGCACTGGATAGCAGTTTCCACCTGGATAAGTCTCATTAGCCGTGCGAATCCAACCACCTAAGTGGGGTCCATCCCGGGACTTCACAGGCAGAACGGAAGCGTGTTACCCACTAGGCCATATCTCGGTCATACGTTCAATTGAAGAAAAAGATGATCGGTTGGAAAGATTCCAGCCTCATCACTCCCATGTAACATGTAATCAGGTTGAAAGGTTTACAACCGGATCGAAATACTGTAAAACCGCTGCTTAGTTTAGTCAGATGTCATGTCTGCAACAAGCTTGCAAACACAGTTTGTGCCGTCTGGTCTATGGGCAAAACAACAACCAGTCCAATAAGCTACCCCCTAATCAAGCTGGTATGTTTGCGTTCTGCTTTGGCCGGGGTCCCGGGTTCGACCCGCAGTTTGATTGATAGGTTCCCACTACTGATGAGACCTGATCAACAAGTATACGGTAGTGCGTACATTTTTGTTTCTGTCAGGGCTCGAACCGCGAACTGTCGGGTCAGGACTCCAAACATTCACCCGTGAACTACACGATTCTGCAGAGTCCTGACAGGGACACAAAAAGTACGCACTGATGACAAGTCCCAAACAGGACGAAACAGCTGTCCAGTGCTCTTTGTTGGTTATCACAAATATTTTCATTGCATTTGAATGCATTATATCGTGGGGAATTACCAATTTCCCACGGAGTGAAACCTACACCCAAAACTATTAAGAGTGCCTGCTGCCCCTGAACAATTGAATGGGCTGATCCAAGCTTGATACTCTAAATAATACAGCTTAACTTTGAGAAGCGAATAATACACACATCAATAGGGACAATTTCAGATTGAGTCCGTCAAATGATGAACCACATAACTCACCAGATCCACACATACGCCCCGGTCACGTGGTCATTTGATTTGCTCCCGAACCGCATGTGTGTCAATCGGATCAAACGCACATGCGGAATCCTTGTATCCGTTCTTGTACGCATCCGGTCGTACTGGTTGCCATATGGGGATCGGTCGACTGGGAATGGTGAACTCATTCTGTGTCGAACAGATTGCGGTAGTCTCGATACGTGATACGACTTTGGTCGGCTCAGCCACAACCCAAGCATGCGGTTCAGCCTCGGTCTAGTTGAGAGACGACCCGTAAAATGGACACAGTCAGACGATTTGGGTGAGTGAGGAGGAGAGTTGAGCATAGGGAAAGATGAAATGGGTAACGTCTGATTTGTTGTCCTCAATTTATCAAAACATTTCCTGGTTAGGTTCCAATTTGTACCTTAGTAAGTAATTGAAACATACCATTGACACAGTATAAACGACATTATTCGCGTTGTTATAAGCAATGAGCACGTGACATGAAGGAGAGGAGAACTCCCAAACAAGGAAACGTAACTGGACTAATTCAAAATTTTGTATCAGCGGATTATATTTATAGAGTAAGCACGAATAATATCCATTCGTGATCCGCAGTCTGGTTCAAAATGGTTATACCTCTGGACTCGTATCTCATAACAATAAATCAATTATTCAATAAATTATGCCTAAAAAAGAGCTTCGTCAATTCATGCAAGCAATCTGGCTGAACAAGACCCCCTATGCCAGTTATAACAAAACAATCTATCAAATATTCAAACTGTGGAAACGTTTTACTCGAATCTGACTGCAAATAAATGACGTGATTCATTCTGTTCATGGATGGAACTATATTTCTGTCATATAAAGAAGTTCACCAATAAGTCCAAACAGCTGACCACCTGGAGCTATTATACATTTGATTTGCTCTTCTACGACATTGATCAATATTCGGTCATCATCTGGAATGAGTCAACCTATTTTAATCCAATTGAGGACAGCCAGACAAAATACGCAGCTTTTAACAGGACCGGAAGGATCGGAAAATTACGCGTAGCGCCTTTTCCACTGTGCAAACCAATATGAACTTAGCGTTCCCTCAGGACTACTACCATTTGGGTTGCCTGCTAGAATTGACTCGGTTTCTTTCCACCCCGGAATAGATTTTCGCAACGCAAGAAACAAATCTTACTAAGGGAGAGTCATTATGCATCTATGGAACTTGACTACCTGGTTTCTTCCCTAGCAGTACAAAGTTCTAAATCAATAAAATATCTCATTTATTTCACTTGCTCAGAATGCTGACAACAACACAAATGACGTTCGCAATGGGACAATTAATATCGATACATGAAAACGTATATAGCGGCGGAAAAGCGAACTGAGGGGCTAACGTACATTTACTGTACATCTGTTTCGACCTGATTGCGTATCACCAACAGTAGGAATACAACTGAGGATTGAACCCCGTTTTTTCCAGCTAGGACACCATTAAACTGGCCACCTAATCACATATCTGATGCTAAAATTACTAAAAATAAAGCCCCACGACAAACTTGCAAAAGAGAGTTGTACTGTATCGTTTGTATACAAATTGAAACTTTCAGATCGGCTTCCCGATGGTCAAATGACTCAGAGTCGTTTTACACTGGAATTCAGGACTGTCACAAGGTTTGAAGTGAAACATCAATTTCCTGTTTGCGCAATTTCCTTTTTTGTGATTCAGATCCGTTCGATTATCCAGTCTGGATAACTTACGCGGATTGTACGAGCCCAGGCTTAACTGAACTCGTTCGCGAGCATAAGCCGAAACGGTAGCACCCGGTAAAGTCAAAAAGTCAATCACAAACGCAATGTGTTTGTGCCTTGTTTATGCGGGTTGCTCAGGGTGTTTTACACCCCCTGCTAGATCCGTTAACAGCAATCTAAGTGTCCTGGTCACTGTGAATTTTTGCCCCTAACCTCCAACCCCTTTGAGGACACTGAAATAATTTGTACAATCTCTCTTCTATAGCCCTCCACTAACCAGTAAGGCCACCCCCCCCCCCCACAATATGATTATTGTCACA